TTCGGAAACGTCACTTGCCAACGGCAGAAGCTGTAGCAATCAAAATGATGAACCCAAGACTGTGCAAACAGAAGGAAATGGTTTCCGCACTCCAGTTGCCTTGGTCCTAAGCAAACCTACTTGACGATCCGAACCATTACTTCAGTCATGTAGTGATGGCGCAACATGGCATGAGAAGTTGCACGTAAAAAGGTCATCGGAAATTTCCAGATTTGACCTTGGTCCCCCTTCGCTTCCAGAATTCTTAGTTATTTCATTCGTTCAGCAATTCCATGAATGGGTTTATGAGGTTCCTCCAGGTTGGGCATCTCCCGTATAGACCGCCGTACGCATTGAGTGCCAGTACAATGTAACAGGTGATTTGAGACACATAAAGGAACGCTGTAGGTTTATGTCTTAGGTTTTTGTGAAGCATCTGTCTAACATCTTTATTTCATTATGATACCTTTGCATATTTGACTCCGTTTGTAGACCTAATCAGTGAACCTTATTGTTTGCGGTTTGACTACTGGGAACAGATACTGCCTACTTTTTTATCGTTATTACAGAACGCGGATATCATTACATGACATAACTGTGTCGGTTTTCACTTGTTTACATGCAAAAACCTATGAATACAATTATTTTATCCTGGTTACTTGAATCACATCGTAAAAATAGCTGAGTGTAGGATAGGTTTTACACTCTAACATAATGCGTAGCATTATATAGTGCCCTTTTAAGTAATTCAAATTAGCGGTTACAACAATACTTTGATTGAAACAATCATCCTGAAGTAAATTGAAAAAAAGTATTTCACTATTTCCTTAGATGGGACTGTTCAAACTTTATATATTTATATCCCATATGTTTCCCTTCTCTAAACTGTATTCCTCTTTCTTCATTCGATGATTGCCCCTTTGGCTTGCGCCTGTAATAGGTCGATGGTCTGGATGTGACCAAACTGGGACAAGCGAATACAGTCTCTTTATTACGTGAGAAACCGGTGAACAGTGTTGTGGATCTACTTGTCTGGCGTCCCAAAGATGTTGAATTCGATGGGGATCGAGCAGTAGGACAGGCTACCACAACCACGACTACTGCCACGTCAACCGTCAAATCGACAAATCGCGTGGAAGTGGATGAGCGACCCACACGATCACCGTGTTCAGTAGACCCGGCGAATGTGAAACGATCCAGTCCGACATCTCCCGCGCATCTGGTGAGTTCTCCACCACGCAGGAGTTTATAAACTGTTCATTAGTGGTTGCGTGTATTTTGCATAGTCCACAGATATCTACAAAGCANAGCATTCACCCGACCAGCCAACCCTTGAAGAATATGCACACACAGACACACACACGCCAGGCTTCAATCTGACCTGTCACGTCCTATCATGATTAGATCTCCAGTTTTTGTTTGACAGTATATACATTGATATATATCATTGGCTTGCGATCAAGCTTGATTCCAATGCATAAACAACAATTACATAAGAGAGATGCGCGAGGGGGGGGAGTGAAGGCTGGGAGACAAAGTAGAGTGAAATGGGGATCAAACAGTTACAACGATTAATAACAATAAGAATTTTTGTATGTTTCACCGTCCACTTTTTGATGTTTTTCATGTTTGCCCATGGGTCATGGGATTTCAACAGGTTGATCATACAGCTATCGCACGGTTGACTTCTGTTCTGAGCTATATCTCGTGGCATCTCCATCCAACGACAATCCATATCCCTTAGGCTCAATCTGGAAGACGAGTTGCACCAACCGAGGTTAGCTTCTTCATGCCGCTACGACAGTTCATGATCTGACTACCGCGGTGCTTCTTCCAACCTTGCTCAGTACGTTCAAAGAGAAAGGCAGACAGTGCACAGGTACACGCAAAACATGACCAATCTATCAGAGGCGGTGTAGAGCGATTATCTCTTGAGAGAATAACTATCCACATCCAACTCACCTAGACGATGAACCTCGTCATCGCTCAACCGATGTTCCTATCAGACATGAACAATGCTTCATTGACATCGATAGCAGTAGGAACAAAAAGACAGAAATTGTAAGCAAAGAATGAAAATGAATGAAAATGGAAATGAATGAATGAACGCAAAGCTTGAGAGTAATTCCCAAAGGACAAATCGATTTTAAAAGCAAAACAGAATGAAAAGCATACACAAAATTGATTAGGTGTCTAAGAGCAACACTCTAATCATAACCGATCAAATGAATAATGAACATCGATAGAACAAATATCGTCACAAAGCAGTATAGAAAACCGTGTCGAGCCAGTGGTGACATAATACGGAAAAATAATCTGTTTTTACTTATGTAGATACAAGAGTGTCAGAGGTGACATATTTGATTGGCAATCAGAGGTTGAGACACCATCCACATTTGCGAGTAGTATGCAAAATAGTGCGGTTGGTGGTTTTCTTCAACTATCCATAATTAACAAGACTATTACTGTGTCTCAAAGAATAACTACCAATTGGGCCATTTATTATCCGATGGGCTAACACGAACTGCGATGATATGTCTCAACTGAAATTTCTGTTATTTGTATGCTAAATTAGCGATATCCTAACAGTTATCTGCCATAAACAACTTCCCTCGACCGAGCACCACTTTGTGGAATAATAATACAGGAAACACTATGCTCAGAGAAATTCAAATCATTTGCTAAACAGGCAAGTTAACTAAAAGTCGTTCGTACATAAGTACCCGGGAGAGGGGTTGACAGTTTGAGGGCATCACAGAAGAGCATCAATTCGGATCCAGCAAGGAACCAAAACGGACAAACTACAATCAATCCCCTTATATTATGTATAGGTAATTGTTTTGGTAAACTTGCATGAGACCGATGGAGTCCGTGGAACACATATAAGCAAGAAAAAACCGACGGCAATACACCATGCGAGATCATCATCACATTAACCCAGAAGTCCTGCGTCGGAACGTCCATCAACAAGATCTGAATTTCTAGCTGTTTATTGTGCATAATTGTCCCTCAATTGATCGTTTCTGTACATCTAACAATTCATTGTTTAATTGTTTGTTTTTTGTAGGAAAGCAAAGAAGTTAATATTAGTAATACCTTTGTTCTTTGATTAAGTATTTCCAATGATTGGTGTTGACAATGTGAAGTATATTGACATATTTATCGCGGGTGATATGTAATCCCTCAAAATCAACGGATTTATTTCTCTCCAATCATAAGTCATTCCGTCTCACGTGACCGAAATGGAATGAATAAATCGGGCGCACCATTCATTTTGTGTTGTTCACTCAATCAGTGGATCGCCAAGTCACTGGTTCACACAGTCTTTCCTGTGACTGGGCAAATGTGATACGAATCATAAATGGAATACACACAAGTCGTTAAAATGGTTCGTTGGACGGATTTCTGATTTTCGAGCGAAATTAATTTTTCCCTATCACGAGAATCAGGTTTTATCCGCGCGAACGTCACATTATACTGAGAGGCGAATCGACTGATCAGTCGTCACGTGACCGAACGCCTATCCCAGGCGAAGGCACGTGGTGCGTGGGTGTGTGCGCGCGTGTGCTCCAGAGTTATTTTTAATCTTTGTCTTGCCTGGCTGACCGGCAACATCAAGTCCATGTTGTGATAGGAGACTATTTCAGTGAGATTAAACGCTAGGTAGTGAAAACAGACCCCAATATTGGCGTTTTTTCTCTCTCTTCAATTTGTTCCATACAAAGGATAGCTCTTGTGATTATTGTTCCTAATTATCAAAATCATGTGTCAAAACTGTTTTAAAAAGGTTACATTTTCGGAATCTTGACCAAAAACAGTATTTCTTAATCCCGACGTCCGAGAAGAAAAAGGGCTCTCAGAGGTCAAACATTTCACAGAAACAGTTTCCTTCATATGTAGATTCACAGGTTTTCTGTGAAGTGGTGCACCAAGTTATGATTTTCTATCTCTCCCGCAGTGTAACATGAGCAAAACAGTGACAAGTGACACCTACATCTTTTCCCATCAAGCTTTAGCCAAAACTCGCAATCCTTTAACCTCGACGCACAAACTTTATTCATGCCGCAATAGGCGAGTCGGACCAAAAAGTATTGGAATATTCTGAAGTCAACGATTGTTGAAAAGAATTCTTTGTTTTCTACAAATGATGACGTTACAAAGCTGTTTTAAGAAATAAGGTGTGGTGTGGTCACATACTGCACCACTTATTGATTGGAGGAGGTGTAATCGTTGTGCTCGTATCGTCAAACCATTTGCCACATCTCGTCTAGCTTCAGAGCACGTAGTGTTTACTTAGACCCGATTGTAGAACATCATCCTCTCGACGAGCCTAAGACAGTCACGTGTAATTTCGACAGTTAATTGACTGAATTCAACCAGTGGAGAATTAACGATCTCCCAGGAAGTGAAACCCACACCCTAGATCATCAACAGCGCCTGGTACATGTGAAAAACCGATTGGGCTAATCCAAACATTCACCGTCCAAATTGATTGAGCTATTCGCACAAGGTGATGACCGTGGATCGTGTAGCTTGGGGGTAGGGGTTTGAAGTCCCAACCTGAAGAATCGCGGGGGACACAAAACGTACGTACTACTAACGAGTCCCAAACAGGATGAAGCAGCTGTCCAATGCTCTTTGTCGGCTACCGCAAACATTTCCATCGCATTTAAATGAGTACAACTTATTAGTTTTTCAAAGACACCATCTTGTGGTTCCTAATCTGATGAAACTTATTTGATCACTCACAAGCATAAAGAGCGGCTACAATGACTCTGTCCGGATGTCGTTTCCGCCAAACAACGAACATACTAACTATTGGGCAAGTCCACAATTCAACTTTTGAATAGACTAATACAACCTATCGTTTTTTTGCCTCGAGCATAGATCGCACAACAATCTATTTGTTACAAGCTTGTTATAGCCGTGNAGCCGTGTTCCGTTTGGGCTTTGTTTTATGACTTGCATTTTCCGCATGTTTGTGAGTTCGTATTTTTTCGAGATTTTGTATGCTGGGAATGTATGATCTGTAACCGGAAACCCAAAACCTTGTGTGTGTGTGTGTGTGTGTTCGCAGTTGTAAACAATCGATCACCGAAAGAGCCTACCGCAGTCTTGAAATTACCCTTCTTCGTTCGTGCACACAATGTGCAGTCTCCTCGGGCTCAGCCAATAGAGGTGATAGAGAACAGCTGACTCTTTCTTTGACTGTAAAATATTTGTCCCGGATGGAGAAAAATTGCGTTAAATCCAATCGGAAAGTGAAGTCGAATGTAGTTGGAAGAAGTCTGCCGGATGGATGTCACAACAACATGTATGTACAGATAGACACGGACAACACCAATCTAACTGGACCGAAGTCCGGGCCAATACGGTTCATTGTTCCCCGCCAACCTATCCCCCAGCCCCTAACCCCGATACCTTTGATTCGGTGCATGAATGTGTTAACCAAATGTGAAAAAAGCACTGGTAATTGACATTTCAACAAACTTACCCAGTAAATTATCTGTAAATTAGATTGATCTATGCACGGAATTTGTTCACGTGTAGAACGCTTTCCGGGATTTAGATCGTTTAATCCAAGCCCACCATCCCGCCACCCAGTATTGGTTTACGGGTGAAATTTTAAAGTGAAAATTTCCACTGGGTGTTTGTAAAGTGCTTTTGTTCGGGGAACGATTCGGTTCAATCACCGGCCAAAACCAATTCAAAGTTGTGAAAATGAAAATGAAAAAAAACTTGCATTAGCAAAATAGAAAGTTTGAACATCTTACGAGACACCTTGAGACTGATTATGTTCACATTCTGCCCATAATGTATCCAGACAAACTTCAATATCAAACTTCAATGTTCTCCTGACCTCACCCGCTTTGGGACATTCTATTTTTCTGAATCAGTTTATTAGGTTTGTATGATACTTTAGTTTGAACCAGATGTTCATACCGACTAGATGCTATTCAATCACTGAATAGATCGTGTGATACGTCTGGTAGGTCTTGTGCACATCCACAGTCTTTGAATGGTACATCATTTCACATCACCGGTTGGCCATTGTTTTTTGGGGTTGTCTGGTGCATTTTCAGATAATTTATCACAATTTGTCCAGTATTCTTTTCCTGTGCTAATTGCCTACCGATTAAGATAGACGGACTGGTCAAAATGACGTCAGTGTTCAGTAAAATGGCGAATCCCTTGGAAAACTTTGGATGCAGAGGATGGATGACCTACTTCTCATTGTACGAGTCTGGTGGGGAAACCGGAAGAGCATTACTGAGGTTATATGGAGAGTTTTGAGTAACTGCGGCCCTTATGCGTTTTCCACGTTTGAAGTGTAGAATGTTGCTACAAGATTCGGTTGGTCCAGCACTCAGCCTCATTCCAACCGGGGAGGTAATAGAGGAAGTGGATATGTTTAATTTGAGCAGCTACATCGCACCCGATGGACGCATCACGGATAGAGTCAACTAGCATAAAGAAGGCTCGGTTGGCATTTGTCTACTTCAGACATCTGAGATACCGTCGCGATATGCGGCTGTCTGTGAGGGGTAGGGTATATACCGCGACAGTTCGGCCAGTTCTGCTATATGGTGCAGAAACTTAGCCATTAAGCAGGAAGGATAAAGATAGACTGTCGGTGTATGAACACGGCTGTATACGCAGCATTGCACGAATCTGGTGGGGCAGCCGGACGAGTAATGTTGAGGTTAGGCGTAGTAGTGGCTGCGGTCACCCACTAGAGCAAGTAGTCGACCTCTATAGATTACGTTGGTTGGGGGCGTGTTACGTATGTCACCAATTAGGTTGCCACGACCAACGATGTTTGGTGAGACATATCACATAGGTTCTGTTAGGCTCCTCATATGAGGACCTTGGATTCAGCGTAATCTATGGTTAGGGACACTGAGTGATATGGCTGGGTGTCGTAAACAGTGACGCTCGTGTATCCACTCATTATTCTCCTAACATCACTCCAAATGAATTCTCCATCATTAGCTCGAATTTACACTCAATATGCGAATCTTCATCTTGCTCTTTTATCTAAATGGGGGGGGGGGNAGTAACCAAAACCGGCGCACGAAAGTGAATGAATAATGGTTGAATGAACTGAAGTGAACTGCGGTCGACCACTGGATCACGTGGTCAACCTCCATAGACTATTGTGATTTGTAAAAGGTCAAGATCCGTCAAACCAAGACCTGGCATGAGGATATAAATATCCTAATCACCAGAAACTGGATCATATGGGTCCAATTAGGCTCCCTGAATGGGGAACCCGAGACCACGGTAGCCGGTGGTTAAAACTACTGAGCGATATAGCTGGGTGTCGCAAATAGTGGCGCTTGTGTATCTGCTCAATACTCTTGCCATTTCAATCTGTATGCATTCTTTATCCTCACTGTGATTCTACTCTCAACATTCCAATGTTTATCCTGCGCGTTTATCCAAATTTGTATCATTAATACAGTAATAGAAATAACAGATGGAAATGTAATGTTCTGTGGTTGTGAAAATTGAAACGGAAAATTGAACGGATTCTCCCGGTTGCAACAAGTCGCATCGATTTTTCAAACGAACTTGTTTTGATCGGGCTCAAATGGATCACGTTGGCATCTATATATTCAGTCGAGAATATCTTGTCTCTCGGTTCACATTTTTCTCATTCCAATCAATCTATGCTAGGTGTTTGTCTAATATATTTACCGCGAATGTTATCGTCAAATCGTTGTTTCTTTTCAACCCGATGACAACATTTGCATTCTAAGTGAAGATACCAGTTCGATGTATACAAACTGTCAATCAAAAGAAAATAATTTTCGCAACGGCACTTGACACTACCTAATCAGAGCATCATTTCCCAGCGGAATTGATGACTATTCTTTAGATGAATCGTCTTTCTACAATTACTCGATCTCCGACTCCAACCATAAAGTGATGCTTCTAGTGGATCGCTGAGAAGACAGTGCAGAGAGAGAGAGAGACAGAGAGTGAACCACGGATCCCTAGGAACCGTCAGACGCCAAAGTCGGCAATCTATATTCATTTTGATTGACTGATTTAACTAACTATTCTCCGGATTTTACCTTCACGCGCAATCCTCAGTTCATCGATTCAACCATACTCTCGGAAGCATTGGGATTGAGTTTCGCTCTTACTAGAGCTCATTAGTAGTCCATATCCACCAGCCCGTCCGGGATTCTAACTCCGGACCCATCGCATGGAAGACTTGTGCGTTAACAGTGGGCCAACCAGCTCATAGCCGAGGATGAACCGAATTGCCAATTCATGTTTGTTCAGGTCTTATCTTCAGTGCTAGTCAGTCCGTTCATTTGACCTGACAGCAAAGAAGGGAAACACAGGTGATAATCTGTTAACTCCAATCGAAAGCCTCCCACCAATTCTGGACTTCTGTGCAAGACATGGTTT